TTATCCTTGCCTTTGAAATTTCTTTGGAATTCACTAGGTTTTAATATTTATTTGTATGAATTTTCTGTTCTCATTTGTAATATCCAGCTTTGAGGTTATGCTCTAAAAACGAAAACCTTTCCAAATATATTATTAAATATGACCATGCTGTGGTATTCACCCCTTATAGGTTTCCTTACATTTAAATATTTAATCCATATATAATCGATCTTGGCACATGAGGCTAGAATCAGACCTTTTTTTAAACAGCTTATCCTGACAATCTTTATGAATATTTCATCCATTTTATACTTACTGAAATAACATCCTTACCGTGTACTATATTTTTGTGTTTTCTTTTTCTCTCCAGCATCTCATAAGAATGTCTAGAGTATGTATTTAGTTGCCGCCCTTCGCTGCACAGGAAGCACAGTTGTGTCACCCGACAGCCAGAGCAGGAGAGGAGTGTGAGGATTTTACACACGAGACTTACTTTCACACTGACATCCTCTCTTCCCTGGCCACTCAGTCTACTTAGGATATTTCAGTGTGAAGTTACACCTTCACACTGCCCTACCCAGAACAGTCTACCAGCGCTCACAATGTCCTGAACACCATCCACTGACTCACTTGTCGACAGTGCCTACTGTGTACCACCTACTATGCTAAGTAGTGAAGCTGACGGATACTCTTCACACCGTGACGTGACTTCCAAGGGGGATGCACTGGAAGTACTTAATAATTCTTCAGTTTTTTGGTTTGGTATTGTTTGCTACTAAGTAGGAACTTTTAGGGGCAACCATCTGCGCTTGTAGGGAAAGAAGATACGTGAAGGGACTGCTGAGTCCCTTCAAGTTGTTATTTAGTTTCAGATAAGACCCTCTAGGGAAAAAACACCAGGAAGTGGTTTAAACTAGCCAAAGCCACCCAGTCCCTCCACTAGGTGACACAGAGTAAACTCTGCTCATTATAATGTCCCTACAATGCTGTGTGTTTTCCTCCTCAGTGGCATTCAGGCCACCATCTCTGATAATAAAAGCATGATCTCAAACTGAGGATGCTCAGGAAGGTGCTGCCTCTGCAGGTGAGCACAACGTCTCTAGTATGAGTTTTTGTAAGTCTCCCTGAAAAAATCCCCTCACCAGGGAGACACGGCTTTAGGATTCATTCCTGCTGCTCTTTTCTTAACAAAAGTAAACCTCTTCCCACTTTTTATGCCCTGGTTGTGTTACTGGCTTTGCACTCACCAAGGGGCAAACCGCTGTGTTCAGTTACAGAACCACAAAGTACTGTACGACCTTTCCAGCAGACACTTGTGTCCAGACCTTCATACATGTAGTGAGGCACAGCTGGTTCCAAATTCGAACAGGAAAGACAAGAAGTAATCTTGAGGATTATCTACTGAGTATTTATAAGACACATTGGGCCCTTGAGAATAGGACAGAAAAGGAATCAAAGAGAACCTGAAAACTCTAATGAAAAAGTCCCTTTACCTCTAAGACTCAGAGACCAACGGTAAATTCTCAGGTCTCTTTCCTGAGAAAAGTTGGGTCCACCCCAGATGAGATCCCCAAAAGTTTAATAAAATCAAGAATGAATTTGTAAACCCAGCTACTGAGGCTGAGGCAGGAGTGGCAAATTCAAGCCATTACCAAGGCCACAGGAAGAGGGAGGGGAAAAGGGATGGACTGAGAGGAGGGCTCTCCACCCTCCCTGCCTTGAGGTGCAAGACAGAAAAGGAGGGGTCACACAACAAATAGGCCTCTGAGGACCAGAGGAGAGGAAACTAGGTGGGGGACCAGAGGAAATGGGTAAAGGGACAGAAACTGAGGAGCTGGAGTGTGATTCAATCCATTTTCTATAGGCATTTATGGGGTAAGCTGACATCTGCCTGGCACTGACTCTACAGGGAAGAGGGTGGGCACCACCCAAGCAGGGTTATGGGAAGTGGCAATTTAAAGTGGCCACACACGGGCTCTCCGATGCACGCTTTCTCCAGCAGGGGGCTCCTCTGTGTGAGCTTAGAAATCACTGATTTCGGCCAGGCCCAGTTCCAGGGGAGCACAGGGGAGGGACAGGAGCCTGCTCTGGGATCTATTCCTGACAGGGAAGAGGCAGAATGTCCTTCATGTCCCCTCTGGGGTCATTTACATGTTATGGTTTGGATGTGAGGTGTCCCCCAAAAGCTCACATGTGAGACAGTTCAAGAAGATTCAGAGAAATGATGGGCTGTGAGTCTCCACCCAATCAGTGAATCAACCCCCTGGATTACCTGAGGGGTCTGAAGCGGCGGGGCGTGGCCCCGGGTGTATCTGTATCTGGCCAATGGAGGCTCCGCTGACTGACCAACACGTGAGCCGCTTTCCTCTGCCACACTCCTCACCTCGGGCACCAGGAATGGAGCCGGCCTGCCGTGGACTAACACCTCTGAAACCCTGAGCCCCAAATACACCTTTGCTCCTCTACAGCTGTCCTGGTCAGGTCCTTTCATCACAGTGGCAAAAACACTGACTAAAGGACACGCTACTCACCCGCCACTCATTCCCAGGTCCTGCCCCACTCAGCGGGCACAGCCAGGAGCCCCGAGCTGGAGCGCCATGGAGCGTGAGGGAGCAAGGGGGAGCCCTGATCAGGTCCACCACCTCGGAGGGGCAGCCTCACGGGAAGGTGGAGAGAGGCAGGACAGAGGGCAGAGCCCTGGGAGGAAGCCACCAGCCTGGCAGGGGCAGGCCGAGCAGGCCGGACGGACGGTGAGCGCACAGGGCAGGAGAACAGGCAAAGCATGTGGGGGTGGGGGGGACGGGCCAGGCTCCAGAGAGCAGAGAGCAGTCACGGGAGTGTGCAGGAGAGCAATGGGCCAGTGGGAAGGGGAGGAGCAGGAGGGCGAGTATGTGGTCACCCGACACCTTTGATAAAAAGTAAAGAACAAAAGAGGACTTAACCCCGAAGTGAAAGGACTGACTGTCTAAAGTGGGAAAAGGATAAGGGAACAATCAGGCTGAAGCAGTCTCAGAGTTCACGGGTTTTAACACACGGGGACAGGGCAGGCTTCACCTCGGATGGCACACAGACCATCAACGCCACTAACCCGCAGAACAGGGGCCCCTGCAGTTTATTCAAAGGGCACCTAGAGAGGCAGAAAGGAGGTGGGCCTTTGTCCTTCCTGGGACTCACTCATGTGGCTCCCGGCTGTGGGAAAATGAGCCCCTGCCCTACAGGAGCTTCCCACGTCTCACTGTTATCTACCGGCCTAGACCCTGGTAATGGGAACAGATCTGGGCCGCCTCCCTTTGAGGTCAGGGTACTCAGACACCACGTGTCCAGGGGTGACAGCCCTGATCTAAGCCACCATTTGTTTTTACCACGACCCCACCTGGAGACACTATTCCCTGAGCCAGGCAATCCCTGACTGGCACTGTGTGGGAGCAAGGAAAGGCCACGCTCCCTCCCTTTGCCCACTGATCAACGAGGTCTTCCGAGACAGTATTAAGTAAAATACTGAAAAGTCCGAGAGATAAAGACTAGGGATGGACACTGCAGAGCCAAGATTCCTGAGCAAGGCACAGAGGCGGCAGTCAGTGGCCACTAGTCAGGACCTACCTTGGGAGACCTTGAGGGGATGCCCAGCTTGGTCACCAACCCAAGGGACACTTGGAGAGAGACATCTGCTCATGTGAAGACACTGTACTCACTCCCTTCCTTCTACAGGTAGCAAACTTGATGTCAGCTCCCTCTGACCCTCTAGTGGGCAGTACCTTCAACAACTAGAAGATTTGACCCAAGTCACTTGAGAAAAAGAGGCTTGTCTTTTTTTGTCCCACGGCCTCAATGTGAGTTGGGAGAGGGACAATGATGGCCACTCAGCAGCAGCATCAACTATAACACCAGGGTGACCTACAGAAAACCTGGGTTGTTTTATCCATGAGGTAATTTAAAATAGAAACAAACTGACAATTTGTATTTTTACTTTAAAATAAATATGTTATTTCTAGAAACCCATACTGAAGAAAGATGTCAATCATCATCATACACAAAGTTAAGCTTTCCAAACACCAAATCTCTTTAGTACAAGATAAAATCTCAGTGTAGCATTGGAAAATGCAGAAATGTTATATATCACAAATCTTCAAGGGCCAGCTTTGGTCTCTCTGAGAAACAAAACACACCGGATGTCACATATGCTAAATTAAATAAGCAAGAGGCCACTATCCTGAGGTTGTCTCCAGTACTCTAAGATCTTATGTAATGAGTACATTACCTCAGCCCAGAAATAAACTGAAATCTACTTTAGGAGGAGGGCTTTCAACAAATAACAGTTTCAGCCAAACAAACAGCTGAGCTTTAGAACTTGTCCAAATAATGCAAAAGCCTCACTGTAGCCAATCAAGTTATTTCTGCGCTCTATTTCCACGTCTGCCCTTACTACAGAGCAGAGCTTTTTGAACCTCTTTCCATTTTCAGTACTACTCAACTCATGCATTGTTCTTTGCTCAAATGAACCATTAAATTTATCTAAAATTTTCCTTTTATTTTATTTGGGGAAGGTATTGGGGATTGAACCCAGGGGCTTTACCACTGAACTACATCCTCAGCCCTTTTTATTTATTTATCTATTTATTGAGACAGGGTCTTACGAAATTTCTTAGGGCTCAGTTGCTGAGACTGGCCTTGAACTTGTGATCCTCCTGCCTCAGACTCTCTAGTCACTGGGATTACTGGTGTGTACCATCAAGCCCAGCAAAAGTTTTCCTTTTAAACATGTCCAAATGAGAAAAATGCCTCGCTGTCACAAATCAAGTCATTTCTGTTATTTCGTGTCAGCCATCACTAGACTGGAGTTCTCTGAACCTCTTCCTTTCCGTTTTGAAAGCTACCCCATTCATGAACTGTTCTTTGTACAAATAAACCATTAACTTCGTCTAAAGTTTTTCTTTCAACACATAAGAACACTATCAGCTTCAGAAATGTAAAACAGCCAGTGAACCACACTCTTTTTCACAGAATTAGCAGATATACACCACCTGTTTCTTTTCAGATCAATTTCTTCACTGTTTCTTTTTTTTACTTGCTGGACTGTCCAACACTTCAATCTTGCCTTTTCCACCTTCTGAATTAGGAAGCTTAATGTTATCTATGGTAACTTCAGACGAGATGCTGTCATCTTCATCCTCAGATTCTGAGCTGTCCTCTGAACTCTCTTGTGAACTCTCCTCTGAACTGTCCATTTCTTTTGAATCTGAGTGATCCATCTCAAATAAGGCCACATCCTGCAAAACATATCAGGTGAGAAATCTATTTCATAAAAAATCTATAAAACTTTGTTAAAAAAAAAAAAATGCACAAAGGGTAAGAAATGTTTTTTAATAGAACATGGCACTATCATGTTTTCAGTTGCCAAGATCCACCAGAATGATGACTGACATTAAGGTCTAAAAAGTCTCCTATAGCCTTACTCTACATATCCTGGACACATTCAGCATCCCTTCATTTAAATATTAACATGAGCCAGGTATCCCACTAGATTCTAGAGATTCAACAACACAAAATCAAAACAAAACCCATGCCTTCATTTTTCAGCAGAGACCAGCAAATTATAAGCTAAAGGCCAAACCCTACCTGCTACCCACTTTTGCTCAGCTTATGAACTAAGAATGGCCCACAGAGCCCAAAGTATTTACCCATCTGGCCTCTTACAGAAAATGTTTACTGACCCCCGTTCTAGAGGGGAAAGAAAGGAAACAAACAAATACATATAAAGCAGAGTACAGGGTAGTGAAAACAGAGAAAGATAAAATAGGGCAAGATCCAGGGAAGTTCTCCTGATGAGGTGACAATTGAGAGGAGATGAGTCAAAATGCAGAAATGTAGACACACACATTGTAGGTGAGAAAGTCACGCAGGAGAAGCCCTGGAGCAACGACACTGGGAGCCAGAGCGCAGCAGACAAGGGGCTGTGAAGAAGGTAGGGGCAGAGAGAGTGAGCTGGAGGGCTGGATCACCGAGCCCTGGGAAGGATTTCCATTATTAGGAACACTACGGGGAAGGCCTCAGGGACTAAACTGTGTGCCACACACTGTGAGAAGAACAGACCCCAGGGAGAACAGAGCAGAAGCAGGAAGCCCTGTTAGGAAATGACTGCCGTGGTTCAGGAGAAACCACAATTACCTGGATGGAAAGAGGCTACCCAGAGTGCTTGGAGGGGGATCTATTCTGAAGCAGTCCTGAATCTGAACGGGATTCGCTGATGAATGGATGCTATTAACCGTGCTGCCAGCTCTGTTCAGACACTAGTGTTACAAAGGGAATTCCAGGTGGCCACGGAATGAGTACAAATGGGGCAATTTCACTGGAAGCTTATGGGATTGATCATTTCTTATAAGCACATCATTTATTTCCACACACTCAATGAATCAGATTATAATTGCCTCTTTTGGGAAAAAATCAAATCAGCTAGGACAAATTAATGCTTCAAGTTAACAAATGTGATATTTGGCTTGAAAAAGCCCACCAGTGACTCCACATGACTAAATCCCTAAGCTCCACCCACAGAAGCTCACGGACTGGTGAATGCACCATAAGATGTCTAAATTCCTAGGCAGTATTGGAAACGAGCGTGCTCTCCGGTGGCTCGGAAGCAGAGACAGGAGGATGGTGAGTTCAGAGCCAGCCTCAGCAAAAGCAAGACGCTAAACAACTCCGTGAGAGCCTGTCTCTAATAAAATACAAAATAGGGCTGGGGATGTGGCTCAGTGGCCAAGTGCCTCTGAGTTCAATCCCTGGTTCCTGCTCCCCCAAAAAAGATTCAGTGGGCAAGTTCTCACTCTGACTTTTAGGTGACAAGGCACATGCTGATTTCACTGTATGAAATGAAGGAAAAGCATAGTTACCATCTGTATCACTTTCCCGAGAGTCCCATCGAGACTCTCGATATTGAACCGACCAGGTGGAGCAGCAGCCATTTCTTTCCGTAGTTTTTCATTTGCCTGGGCCATCTGGGGGAGAAAGTTCTGAACTTGGTCTAACACTATGGAGAGAGAAAATGGCATAGCAACATTCATGTGAGTAAATTCAAAATCCAGGATTCTCTGTAAATTCATCTGCATTGAATAGTAATAATAAAAAATCATTCAATGTTTCCATGTTAAAAATCTCTGTTCACTTCTGAATTATTTTTCCCCCAGTACTAGGAATCGAACCCAGAGCCTCACATGCTAGGCAAGCACTTGACCACTGAGGTACTACACCCCCAGCTGTTTTTTCAATTTTATTTTATTTTTTTAAATATTTTTTTAATTGTAGATGGACACAATATCTTTATTTTGTTTATTTAGTTTGTTTTATGTGGTGCTGGGGATAAAACCCAGTGCCTCACGCTTACAAGGAGGCAAGCACTCTACTACTGAGCCACAACCCCAGCCCTAAATTTTACTTTGAGACAAAGTCTAAGTTGCCCCAGCTAACAATGATCTTATGATCCTCTTCACACCAAGCCACTGAAAGCAACAAGACTACACAATTCAGCAACTAATTATTTCTTTAAAAAGAAAAATTGTTTTGCATTACTGGGATTGAACAGGGCATTCCACATGCTAGGTAAGCACTCTACCATTGAGCTCTAACCCCAGCCCTTATATGATTATTTTGAGACAGGGTCTTGCTAACTTGCTGGTCTCAAACTTGCAACCCTCCTACCTCAGTCTCCTGAGTAGCTGGGATTACAGGTGTGCACCACTATGCCTGGGGCTCACATGTTTTATTTCTATTCCTCACACAACCCCAGCACTACTAACTCCTGAAAGGATGGCATTCTAAAGTACCTGAGTAAGGAGACAATGCCATAACAGTTAAGTATGCCAGGTTCTGAGGCTTACGATGAGACTGTCACGGTTACTGACTTATTCCAGCTCCGCCTCCTAACTTACCTTAAGCAAGTTAAGTAAGCAATGACTGTCACTGCCTGCCAATATCCGCTCCCCTTTTTCTGATCTCCCCTTTAAGCCTGTGTTACTATCAGTCAATCATCTCTCCTCCTACACATGCCTACAATTTCCACACCTGGGCCACTGTTTGTTTGGTGGCACACAGAGATGCAGCACTCTAGTCGGGCTAATACCTCATCAGACTGTGGTGTCTGAACTGTCAAGAAACATTCTGAGTGACTGACTCGGGGAGCAGCTGAACAAGAGGCTCAACCTTCCAACAGAGCAGGCAACTTGCCACAGAGAGGGTTGAGCCTGCTCTAGATCCAGGCCAACACCTACAAAAGCAGAGCTTAAAGACACAGAGCCACAGGCCCCTCAGGACAGGGAGTCCCAGGATCCAGATATGCTTGAAATTGCTGCCCCTGGGTTCTTTTACCCCAATAATATAAGCCAACATAATTTCTTTCCTTTCTTTAGACAATGTGAGCTGTGTTTCCCTTACCTGCAATTAACAGTGCTAACTGGGGGCTGGGGCTGGGGCTGAGCGGTAGAGCACTTGCCTAGTATGCATGGGGCACTGGGTTAGATCCCCAGCACCACATTTAAAAAAAAAAAAAAAAACCTAGATAAATAAAATAAAGCTATTGGGCTGTGGTTGTGGCTCAGTGGTAGAGTGCTTGCCTGGCATGCACGTGGCGCTGGGTTCAGTCCTTGGCACCACATAAAAATGAATAAATAAAATAAAGGTATAAAAAATGCTGTATCTGTTTAAAAAAGAGTGCTAACCGATAAATATGATTTTACCACTCAACACCTGAGCATGCTCCTCTGATAGAGGTGTGATAACTGCCAGGCACTCTGCTAAATACAGAGGAGTCAACAAACAAGGGGTATTTAATGTCTTTGTATCTCAAAAGAGGCCTAGCAAAACTATCCCCATAACAGACTCTCAAAACTCATCAAGCCACTACTAGGGCTATATGACAGATGACTAAAATATCCAGTAGACAGAAGAAGAGACCATGTATACACACACAGCCTGGCACATCCTGAATACTGAATAACTGTTAGTTTTCCTCCCCTTTCAGATACAGAGAGAAACTACAGACAAAAATCAAGGTATTTCCTTGTCTAAAGATTCAAATGTAATATCAGAGGCAGGATCTCCTTCTACTCTTGGTTGTTTGATACTGGAGATTGAACCCAGAGGCACTTTAGCACTGAGCTAAAACACCAGCCCTTTGTATTTTCTGAGACAGGGTCTAAGTTGCTTAGGACCTCACTAAGTAGCTAAGGCTGGCCTCAAACTTGCAATCCTCCTGCCTCAGCCTCCACAGTTTCTGGGACTGCTTGTATATGCCCTCACTCCGTTTTCATTTTTTACTAACGAATCAAGTGGAGCAAAGTAAGTACCAACTTATTCAGCTTGAATCATTCTCAGAAGCCATATTTCTGCCTGTAATCTCACCTACTGGAGAAGTGGAGGCACAAGGATGCAAGTTCTAGGCAAGACAGAGCAACTCAGTGAGACCCAGTCTCAAAAAAAAAAACGAAAGAAAAAAGGGCCGAGGTTATATAATTCAGTAGTAGAGTGGATGCCCACCACATGGGAGACTCAGGGTTCAATACCCAGGTTTGTTTGTTTTTTTTTTTTTTTTAAAAACCATAAACAAATGAACAAATAAATAAAATACAATAAACTTAAAAATATAATAAAAATTTTAAATGGGCTAGGGACATAGCTCAGAGGTAGAGTACCTGCATAGCATGTGTGAAGCCCTGGGTTCAATCATCAGTTACATACACACACAATTCCAAACATGTAAATAACCAGCAATGACACTGATGACAATAAGAATGTTAAAATAACTACCATAAATATACTGCATACACTTAACAAAGCAAACAAAGCACAATGAGGAAAGAAATAAAAGATAAAAGGACTCAAACTGAAGGTGTAGAGAAGGAAACTATAATACCTGATTCAGGATTAACAGATTAGACAATCATGAAGATTAGTGAACTTGAATGTACAGCAACAGAAATTATCCAAAATAAAACAAAAAGTAAGACTAAAAAAAAAATAAAAGGTATTAAAGAACAAAGGGGCAACTTCAATTGGCAAAATGTGTATTTCTCGAGGAAAGGCAAGAGAGGAAGAGGGACAGAGAAAAATATTGGAAGAAAAAAGTGAAAATTTCCCCAAATATGGTAAGAACCATAACCCCACAGATCCAATAAGGTCAATGAATCTCCACACCCCAGAATCACAAGAAAAACCACGGAGCACATCATCAAGTGGATAAAAACCAATGATAAGGAAAATCTTAAAAGCAGCCAGAGAAGCCAGGCACAGTGGCACATGCTGGTAATCCCAGCAACTTGGGAGGCTGAGGCAGGACGATTTCAAGTTCAAGGCCAACCTCAGCAATTTAGGGAGACCCTAAGCAACTCAGGGAGACTTTATCTCAAAATAAAACATAAAAAGGGTTAGGATGTGACTCAGTGGTAGAGTACACCTGGGTTCAATCCCCAGTATTGCCAAAAAAATTCTTTAAAAATTCTTTTTTAAAGCAAAAAAACAATAAAACAAAGGCTAGGGCTGGGGATGTGGCTCAAGCGGTAGCGAGCTCGCCTGGCATGCGCAGGGCGCTGGGTTCAATCCTCAGCACCACATACATAAAATAAAGATGCTGTATGGACTAAAGATTTTAACCAATAGTTCACCAAAAACATTTAAACAGTAACACATGAAAAGATGCTTGCTGAGTATGGTGGTACACATCTGTAATCCCAGATATTCAAAAGGCTGAGGCAGGAGGACTGCAAATCCAAGGCCAGCCTCAGTAACTTGGCAAGACCCTGTCTCAAAATTAAAAAAACAAAACAAAACAAAAAAAAAACACAAACCAATACCACTACACACACAATAGAATAGACTACACTCAATGTTGGTGAGGATATGCAGCAACTAACGAAACCCTCCTACCTTGCTTTCAGGAATGCAAAATGATAGATGAATTTAAGCAAACAATCGAACAATTTCACTTCTAAGTATGCACCTTCCCAAAATGAAAACCTACGTTTACACAAAATTTGAACAAAAAGCTACCATGTAGTCATTTTAGCTACTATAGATTCAGTGCACGGAATGGTTCAGTTTTTGGAGTATTCATGATTTCTTAATTTATAAATACAATAACCTCCTGCATCATTTACATTGTTTTCATTAAATATTTGACATCTGAATTACACACATATTGACTATTATATGAGAGCCATTTAAAAAGTGAGTGAACAAACTTATAAATGTGCAGTATAATATTAATATAGAATAATTAATAAACAGAACTGGCTTGGTTATGTCATACTATAAGCAACATTTACCATTTAAGTACCTGTGTCCAATTGAGGGATGTCGTGGTGCTTTTCCATAGACATATATTAAGTTTGGGGCTTACTTAAAAAAAATCCCATGGAGATTAACCATAATGGGTTTTTTTTTGTTTTTTTTGCAGCACTAGCAATTTCTCCCATGGTAGACAAGCATCCTACCACTAAGCTACAACCACTGCTGTTGTTTTATAAAAAAAATTTAAACAGGGTTTTGCTAATATATCCAAGGTGGGCTCTAACTTGTAATCCTCCTGCCTTGGCCTCCCAGGTATCTGGGATTAGAGGCATGTGACACGGTACCAGTAACAATTAGTTTTTGTCGGTTTCTTTTTTGAGTGTAGGTCTTCCTATGCTGCCCAGGTTGGTCTCCTGGACTTAAGTGACCCCTGGGCCTCAGCCTCCAAGTGCCAGGATTGTGGGAGCAGATCAGCACACCCCGCTATCAACAATAATTGTTTTTGGCTTCCAAAATTTCATACCTCAAGTAGCTTTACAGGAAAGTCAGCTTAAGGCAGGGGAGTGATACAAGAAATTCTATCCTTATGTATTGATTTTAAAATAGGACTTATTCCACTGGACTTTGTGGCTTGATGTCTGACTTATGAAGACAGAGATTATCCCATCAAATAACATCTTCATTAGACAAACTTTGGCATTCTTAGCACAAGACAGGGAATGAGGTACTTACACGGGCTCCTTTCTATCCGAACTGTCTGAAGAGTGGAGGTCTTTCTGGAGTTAGGCTTGGAGTTGATGAGTAACCGGTCCCATATACCTGAAAACACATAGAAACTGATTAACTATAGTATAATAAAAATAACAGGAACTGAGGTTTAGGGGTGTAGCTCAGTGAAAGAGTACTTGCCTAGCATATTCAAGGCCCTGGGTTTCTAGCACTGTAAAAAAGAGGCACTCGGAGTTTCAGTACATTTTGACTGTGTGTGTATATCCTTTCTTAAGCCTGTCTCCTTCATCATTATTATTACACCTATGAGTAATAAATGCACATTGAACTCCATTTTTCTAGGTCAGAAATGCATCAGTGCACAAGTGCGAGCCTACAATGATAGAGGAAGCAGCACCAGTATAATATTAGTTGAGTAAAGCCAGAAATAGTTTCTAAGTCTGTAAAATCAGTCAACCTGGAGCATTTGTTTCTTCATTTGTAAAATATGCTTATCTGGTTACTTCTTTAGACATGCCCAAGCTAGGCAAAGCAGCTCTTCAGGGAAATTTTGTTTCCCGTTCCACCTTTTGAGCTTTCTCACCCACTATTCCTCCAGTCAACCTAACTTTCTAGCCCATGAGAGCTCTGAGAACAGAACTTTTAAAACTCAAGTCTTTGCACACTATTTCTTTTTCTCTATTATTTTTGTTCTTTTCTTTTTCTTGTGATACTGGGGACTGAACCCAGGGGTGCTCTAACACTGAGCTACATCCCCAATCCTTTTTGAGACAGGATCTTGCTAATTTGCTCAGGCTGACCCTGAACTTGCAATCTTCCTGCCTCAGCCTCCCCAGCTACTGGATTTACACACCATTTCATACCTGGAAAATCTATTCACTCTCTAGTACAAAAATCCTGTTCATCCTCAAAGCAGAGTTAAAGAAATACCCACTGAATATTTACTACTTAAGGACTAGTCATTGGATTAGTTAGAAGCAGAGCTGCACCCAGACTACTTGAAATCACATCACAGGTTTGCTACTTTCCAGCCACAATCTCTTCAGATGTATTCTTTAAGGATCTGTTTTTTTATCTGTATGCACACCATGCCTCAACTTGCTCACCTATAAAACGGAGAAAACAAGAGAACCTTCTGCTCAGTTTCGTGCAGTATTAAATGTTCAGTATTAAACTCTGAGGCATAGCAAGCACTACACGAGCTTTGGCCATCACTGTCATTACAGCTCCTTCTCATGCTCTGGATTCTCATCTTTTCTCCAAACTAAAAAAAAAAAAAAAAAATCTTTTCTTCTACCTACTAAGAACAGTCGCAGGCCCTTTTATGCATTCTCCTCCTGCTCACAGAAATTCTACTGGTACTACCACCTCCATTCTCGAAAAGTGAACGCCGAGGTTTGGAGAAGGTAAATAAGTCTCCTAGAAGTCCCACTGTGGAACCAGGATTCGAAACCATCCTTTAATTCTATGTTAGCGTCTGAAATTCTGTGCACGTCTCCCTCCAAGAGCGCGGCGCTGGGGGAGCTCTGTGCGCGAAGGAGGAGGAACGCAGTGTTCAGCTGAATGATCACAGCTTCCCCGACCAGCAAGTACTCGGACACAGACAGCAGGGCCCGTCGCCCTCGCTCCGCTTTGCGCCCCAGCTTGGAGGTACCCGAGGAGCCCGCCGCAGCGCCCTGCAGCGTGGACGCCCACTGTCTAGCGGAACAGAACCGCCCGCGCCAGCCCCAGGCCCGCCGCGGCCTCGCACGGTCCCCGGGGCTCCTCCGCCGCACGTGCGCGCCCCACGCCGCCGCCACCGGCCCCTCACCTCCTCGGCCACCGCTCCCCGCTGTCAGCAGCTCGCTGGACACGGAGGCCCCTGAGCAGTTCCGGGTGGACGACGAACAGCTAGAGCTGGGACTGGCGCTAAGCTCACCGTGGACCTCCATGCTTTCCCAGCCGGCCTGCAGGAAAGAGCCCGGATGCAGGAAAGAGACACAGCCGAGGGGCGGAGCCACGGCTGTGATTGGATTAAACCAAGCTGTGGGCGGGGATAGGGCGGGGCGAGGGACGGCCGGGCTAGCGTGATACCTAGCGCAAGGAAGAGGTTCCCTCTTTGGGGAAAGCAAGGTTGACACTGATTGAGGTACTGTCGTCGTCATTAGAGCTGTCAACGCTCTATTTATTTAAACAAATTCGAACATTAAGAGCATAGCATGAAGCTGCCCTCCTCTGCACTTTTTTTCTTAAATTTGTTTTTAAAATTGTGGAAAACACGTAGCAAAATTTACCATTTTAAGCATTGTAAGTGTATTGTTCAGTGCACTACTGTTCAGTAGTGTGCACAGTATTGACGTTGCTGTACAAGGGATCTCTAGTACATTTTCTTTTTTTTCAGGTTGTATACAAAGTATATTCACATCAATTTGTGTCTTCATACATGTACTTTGGATAATAATGTCCATCACATTCCACCATCATTTCTAACCCCATATCCCCTCCCTTCCCCTCCCACCCCTCTGCCTTATCTAGAGTTCATATATTCCTCCCATACTCCCTCTCCCTCCCCCACTATGAATCAGCCTCCTTATATCAAACAGTCAGCATTTGTTTTTTTGGGATTGGCTAACTTCACTTAGCATTATCTTCTCTAACTCCATCCATTTACATGCAAATGCCATGATTTTATTCTCTTTTATTGCTGAGTAATATTCCAGTGTGTATATGCCACATTTTTTTTATCCATTCATCTATTGAAGGGCATCTAGATTGGTTCCACAGTTTAGCTATTGTGAATTGTGTTGCTATAAACATTGATGTGGCTGTGTCCCTGTAGTATGCTGTTTTAAAATCCTTTGGGTATAGACCAAGGAGGGGGATAGCTGGGTCAAATGGTGGTTCCATTCCCAATTTTCCAAGAAATTTCTATACAACTTATTAAACCCCTATCTCTCACCATGCACAAAACTCAATTCAAAATGGACCAGAGACCCTGCATATAATAGAAGAAAAAATAGGCCCTAATCTCCATCATGTGGGATTAGGCCCCAACTTCCTTAATGAGACTCCTTTGGCACAAGAATTAACATCAGGAATCGATAAATGGGATGGACTCAAACAAAAAGTTTCTTCTCAGCAAAAGAAACAATCTGTGAGGTGAATAGAGAGCCTACATTTTGGGAGCAAATCTTTACTCCTCACACATTAGATAGAGCACTAATCTCTAAGGTTTATAAAGAACTCAAAAGCTGAACACCAAAAAATAATAATAATAATAACCCAATCAATAAATGGGCCAAGGACCTGAACAGACATTTCTCAGAAGATGATATACAGTCAATCAACAAATATATGAAAAAATGTTCATCATTGCTAGCAATTAGAGAAATGCAAATCAAAACTACTCTAAGATTTCATCTCACTCCAATCAGAATGGCAGCTATTATGAAGATAAATAACAATAAATGTTGGCGAAGATGTGGTGGAAAAGGTACACTCATACACTGCTGGTGGGACTGCAAATTGGTGCAGCCAATGTGGAAAGCAGTATGGAGATTTCTAGTACATTTTCAATTTGCAAAATCGGAACTGTGGCCAGGTTCGGTGGCACACATCTATAATCAGAGTTCCTCGGGAGGCTAAGCCAAAAGGATCTCAAAGTTCCAGGCCAACCTTAGCAACTTAGAAAGATCCTGTCTCAAAATAAAAAGTAAAAATATCTGGGGCCGGAGTGTAGCTCAGTGATAGAGCACCCCTGAGTTCCATCTCTAGTAGCAGAAAACACCCTACAGCTCTGGGTGGTAGAATGGCAGCTTAGTATCCAGGAGGCCCTGGATTCCATCCTCAGCACCAAAAAGTAAATAAAAAATATCTCTCTACCTATTGAAGAATGTCACTCCATTGTCTCCTCTCCCCGTTGCTGGGAAACAACATTCTGCTGTTTTTATGAGTTTGATTACTTCATATAAGCAGAATCATATAGTATTTGTTCTGTTTTGGTTTGGGGTGTGTGTGTGTGTGTGATTAGTTTATTTCACTTAAAATAATGCCCTGAAGGTTTTTCCATGTTGTGGAATAGGACAGGATTCCCTCTTTTTGAAAGCTGAATTATATGCCATTTCTTTGCCCATTCCTCCCTCAATAAACATTTGAGTTCCTCCAGCCTCTTGGATATTATGAACAATGCTGAAATGGACAAGGGTGTGCAAATATCCCTTCAAGATCCTACTTTTCAGTTCTTCTGGATATCTACCCAGAGGTGAGACTAGTGGATAATATGGTAATTCTACTGTTAGCTTTCTGAGGAACTTACACACCGTGTCCTTGACACCATCCTACATTCCCACCAATGGTGTGCAAGGTATGAACAGAAGACCGTGCCCTGCTCTAAGTCACTCCATGATGAATAGAACAGCCGTTTTCAGACTGTGCCTAATCTTGGGCCACTCTATTTTTTAAAGCAGTGGTGTGCTGGGAGTTACTCCATTTTAAGTCCTGAGGTGGAATGATTCTGCACCTTGTAGTACCAGTAAACAACCACCATCTGCCTTGCATAACCCAAGGCCCAAACTGGTGAATAAATTAACCATGCTAACAAGAATGGCCACCTGTGAACTTATAGAATTAATCAGAAGGTCAGGATAATTTAGCTTTTTATGTTGCAGCATAGGAGTTCTTTATATATTCTAAATATTAGCCCTTTATAAGATATAGTTATTGCGAATATTTTCTACCATTCTGTAGGTTGCTCTTTTTCTCTGCTGATTATTATTTTGTTGTTGCTGTTGCTTGTGGGGATTGGAATTGGGGATTGAACCCAAAGGAGCTTAATCACTGAACCACATCCCTAGCCATTTTTATTTTTTATTTTGGACAGGGTCTCCCTAAGTTGCTCATGTTAGTTGCGGAGCAGGCTGAACCAATGTTAGCTGCAGGACACTAGACCTGGACACTCGACCCCCCTCTGTCTGGTTCTTTATCGCTTGTTTGCCTCAAGTCTGAACACTCAATCCCACTCAAGTCTAAACACTCAGCCCCCACCTGTCTGATGCAAAGGAAACCCACATCCGACCCCCTGGCTGGTCTGCCTGAAGACAGAAGATGACACCCTTAGCAATTACTGGGTGACCCAATCACTGTATGCCAACAAGACAGCTTGCAGACCAGAGACTCCATTACATTTGGGCTATAAAAACTCTCCCCTCTCTCTCTCTCTTTCTTCTCTCATGCTTCCACTCTCTTGCGCTCTTCCCCCCCCCCCCCCCCCCCCCCGCCTCTTTCTTCTCTCTCTCTCTCTCTCTCTCTCACCGCTGCAATAAAGATCTCTTGGTCGCTCCAAGTGTTGTGGTCACTTTCCTTTCAGCTCAGAACCTCACTAAGTTGCTGAGGCTGTCTTTGAACTTGTGATCCTCCTGCCTCAGACTCTCAAGTATCTGGTATTTCAGGTGTGCACCACCATGCCTTGCTCTGTTGATTGCTTTTTGAGGTTTTTTTATTAGCCACTTGTAGTATTCCCAAACCCCTCTATTATGAGGTTCAGAGCAGAAGTAGAAATCTTGGACCAACCTTTCTGCATATTTCTGACAGAACATGAGCGCTTCAATAAGTCAGAGCTGGGTTAAATCCTGTCTCAGATCACTCATGTAATAGCTGTGACTTTGGGCACATCATTCTTTGAGACTTCATTTCCTCCTCTGAAAAAGCAGGATAATAATACTTCATATAATTTTCCTAAGGCTTCAAAAAGTAGAGGAGTAAAATATATGTAACAATACTACTATCTGCATTATTGTTATTATGGTAATTATAATTTAGCACACAGATAATAACCAAGTTATAAAACACAGGGAACAAAGAATTATGCGAGAAATGACAGTAGGCACTGTGGAGGAAACACTAAATAATGAATTTTAAATTTTTATTTTATTATCTTCCTACTTCCTAGTCAAAGCTTACTGTCTAGAGATCCTTCTGAGAAAGTATAGTATTTTTTTTCTTTGTATTCTCATCACTGTAGCTTGGAATAAGTTTGATAAATGAATGAGCAATGAGAAAGAAGATGAACACATGAATAATTTTTAGAAATATTTTTAGTTGTAGGTGGACACAATACCTTTATTTTATTTATTTTTATGTGGTGCTGGGGATCAAACCCAGTGCCTCACATGTGCTAGGCAACCGTTCTAACACTGAGCCACAACCCCAGCCCACACATGAATACTTTTATTAAAAGTGTTTCATTGGGGTGGGGATGTGGCTCACACGGTAGCGCGCTCGCCTGGCAAGTGCGGGGCACTGGGTTCGATCCTCAGCACCACATAAAAATAAAATAAAGATGTTGTGTTCACCAAAAACTAAAAAATAAATATTAAAAAAATTCTCTCTCTCTCTCTCTCTCTTTAAAAAAAAAGTGTTTCATTGATTGACTGATCACCTCCCTAAACCTGAATTTGATCTACTTTTTTAAACCTACTTCCTAGTTAGAGATCCTTCTGAGAAAGTATAGTATCTTTGTATTCTCATCACTGTAGCTTGGAATAGACAGTTAATGATTGATCCAAGTTTGATGAATGAATGAACAATGAGAAAGAAAATGAACATATGAACTCTCTCTGTGCTTTTAAAAGCAAAACAAAACAAAACCTGGATTCAGGTCTTTGAAAATGTCCTCAGATCTCTTATGTGAATTATTGACTAAACTCTGAAGCACCCTCTGGAGTTACAACACTATAAAAACCTCATGAGATGAGGCTGGGGTTGTAGCTCAGTGGTAAAGCGCTTGCCTAGCACATATGAGGCCCTGGGTTTGATCCTCAGCACCACAAAAAGATAAATAAATAAAATAAAGGTATTATATCCATCTACAACTACAAAAAAGTATTTAAAAAAAAAACTCATGAGACATTGCTGGTTTGTAAGAATAACTTAGGAATTAAGAGATTCAGATCTTGCCAAGAATAGAA